AAACCGATCATCGACTTCTGTGCACAAGCTTTCATATGCCAGGTGTTTTGACCTCATCAGAGTGCTATGTTGCCCTTTTCATTTGCAAGTCAACTATTTGATATTCGTTTCAGGCTGGTTCCTCCAAACCAAGGTGGAATAAACTCCTTGCTTAAGAGAATCTTCGGTTAAGAGAAGTTAAGACAGGCAAATCCTGAGGTCAAACGAACTGTTGCTTTTGCCACTGTGCCAGCGCTCTTCATCCGCATAAGATGTCACCTATTTAACGAGTACTGAAGTTCGAAACAATCGTGTTGACAGGGTTAGTATCGCGAAATACCAAGCTCAAAGTTGTAGCGTGCTTAAAATTTATCAGCCTCTAATTCGATTTTCAGTTGTTTAATAGAGAGCTTGATGCTATACCATATTTGAGCCCCTCAGTGCACGGATACAGAACCCCATCACTAGGCAGGCCTGGAAATGGACTGTTCGGACATCTCCAAATATGCTACCATCCGTAGGCATATTCATGCTGGAAGGTTTAAACTTTTGTTCTGTAGGAACCAGTCGCTTAGGCAAGTACGCTTACGGAATCATAACCTTCCCTCTAAGGAACAAACCAAGAAAAAAGACGAATGATATTCCATAGCAGATGTTCCAGCCAAACTCTGTTGGCAGTCCTCAGTGTAATCAGCCGAGCTTGTTGAACTGCTCTAACAGAACTGTTTTTCTTGAATCTGCTACGAATCTATGGTCTTCAGTTGTCTTGAAGAAACGCTCATTTTTCCAATTTTATTTGTAACAGGTGCACAGGAAATACGTATGTGTCACTGACAGGAAAGTAACTTACGGTTATGGTCGATCTTATCCTCACATTAAAGAACCTCAAGTTAATAACTTAGAATTGTACTTTATGAGTTTTATAAGAAGAAACCCACGACTTTGGCTTAAATAAAGCCTTTTGCGACTCTATATGTATGAGGTTAATCGATGAGGCATTCGCGGAAAATTAAATGGTTACTACAGTTTTCCACCATATGGACGACCAATCTAGCTGTGTATAAACATGGGAATTAGGGCAAAGAACTACCATTCATCAGTTTCCTTGAATCTTGAACCGTTCAAGAAACGCTGTTATGGAGGAAAAACGCAAAACTGAAATGAGTTTTGAGTTCACACTGAAATGTTCAGTAATAATTGCTAGGCTGTAAAGCATAAACAAACGGACTGGCATTATTCGTATCTGCCGAAGAATAACGCCTACGACCTGTTCTGAAATGATCTCTAAAAGCATTCACTGGAGGTGTACCTCTTAGGCATCAACTGACTTTCTTCACATTTATCAATTTAGGTAACACTATTCTTTCAGATTAATTCACCATGCTAATGTAACTAGTAGTTTTTAACCCTGGGTTCAAGATCCATCTAAAGCTTCTCCAGCATACCTTCTTTTCATCAGTACAGTCAGAATTTTCGTTGTGTAATTTTTGAATGAGCACGCTGTATTGTTCGTGTTGTTGCCTGTTTTCAAGATTCAGTTCAGCTGTCATTGTGCGAGTCATATCGCCCTCAAAATATATCCAGTGCATTCCTAGACCAGTTTCTTTGCTCGATAAACCCCAGAGCTAATTCGTCGGTCTTTCTTCTTCTGCATCCCATGCCTTGTATGAACCCGACTACATATATAGCAGTAGTTATGCAAGTATTGTGTAGTTTGTTTAACTTCGGGACTAGTTTTGCCCTTCTCTCTGAAATGTGGCACCAAACCGTAGCATACATTTTTCGCTTCAGCCTTGTAGCTAATGTGTTAAGATCGAATTGATTGTTTCAGATGCCATTTTGCTTTCTGATTCATAGCTTTAGCTCGAAGGTAACAGTTTCTATGCTGCCAAAATAGTTCATCTTTATGTCTTGTAATCGTGTAACATGCCATTTAAGCTATATTTAAGAGTCAGCTATAGAGTTCGAGAACTTTGAGCACCTTCTGAAGCCGACACTGATTTCTTGCCTCAAAGTCAAAGTCATTAGCATTAATAAGATCAGGTTAAAATGCATTATCGGGGTTCTATCAGCATCTGCTTTTTTTGAGCCCCAACTTGGAGTCGACCTTCGGATGTGCATTGACCACACCCTAGTCGCCGATACTGCGATGGGTTCAACTACTGTAGATGCTCAACTACCATGGACTTGTGGCTTACTTTGGTGATTGTCTAAGGCATGGACAAGCGACTGAGCGGTGTAACGTTACAGTGAGATCTAATGTAATAATATTCCTCATTCACAACGGCAATAGTGATTTAAAGCAGGGGTAATAAATCAAATTGAATGTTCATTTCTGAAACGATTTAACAATAACATGATAAAAAGTGAATAGATTCAAAAAGCCCAAGTATTAGAATTATATTATTTAGAAGTTTGTTACTGAGGTTTTTTTATTTAGTATCATGAAAATCACTCATTCAATTTCGATGGCCACTTATCTTTGTCTGTAAGTGGAGTGTGGGGTATGCTCCTACGATAAATTTGTTTCAGATCATTT